CATTACCTCATTTGTTTCATATCCCCCATTTCTCCATAGCAAGCCCTTCAATAACTATTCCCAATGCTGTATTTTTTCTTTACAATTACTTAAATATTAAATTTATCTCTTCCTACTATAAATTATCAACACGTTGCAATTTTGTGAGGAACATACATTTCTCTCTTTCCTCACACCTCCTGCATGTTGCGTGCACCCAGGTGCATGCACATGCTCACACATGCATATTAGATACACACAAAGAATCGCAAAGACTTATCTATTTAATTTACATGTAAAACACAGGTCAGAAATTATCACGATTCCAGAAAACAAAAAAACTTGAAATGGACATTTTAATTCCTAAATTATTTGCCACATTCAAATGACAAATGACAACGTATATCAGTGACCATTTAAAGGTGAAATTAAAATATCTGGTCTACTACTTTCTGGCTTCAGGAAAATATTCATGTAACTCAGAGTCAGAGAAAACAGAAAGACTGCCTTTTTTTACAACTCCTAAAATTTCTTTATTCCCTTATAGATGAAAGATCTGAGAGTTAAACTAAACATTCCAAACAATGTAAAGATTTATTTAGTTTTAGTTTTTACTTGTAGACCATCCTGTCAATAGTCATCTTTATGAAGAAGCTGGAGTATAGAGTATTGTGAACTTAGCAATTTGGCCCAAAGTCATCAGAGTTTGATTAATAACAAGCAGACCTCATCTCTACTAGGTTTAAAAATTTTAGTCTCTGCCTATAAAGTTTTGCTGCCAATATTTGGTTTCTTAATAATCTAACCTGTTTAAAATCTGATTAAAAATTACTTAATACTCAAATAATACCCGATTTGACAACACTTGGATAAGAAAGAAATTATTAAGATAAAAAGAAGAACAATAGGTAATTATAGGCAGCGTAATTAAGATGTCTAAGACCACAGGTCTCTAAAAAAGGTTTAAAAGTAACATTGAAGGTGGCATTATTGCATAGTAAAGTGCATTTCTTATAGAAGAAATGCAAGAATCAAAAGAGTTTATCCTAAAAGCATGGTAAAAGGAACAACTTTCCTTCAGTTTCTATTAAACTAATCATCAAAAAACAAAAACAAAAAAACCTGATTATCGTTTTTGTTTTCCACTACCCTTTCTCTTTTTAAAATTAAATTCTGGCCTACAGTCCCAAGTTTCTGCTAATGAATAATCATGTCAGTTGTCACTCAATTATCACTTTCAACATTTAATCTAAATTATGTACAGCACCTTGATTTTTTTTCTTTGAAGTTCTTTATTGAATTTAAAAGTCAAATTTTTTTTCAAGAAGAATAAATTGATGGAAGATGGAGGCTGAGATTAAATCAGGGGGAATCATTGATCAAGGATGCTTGGAATTCTTATGAATACAAATAGCCTATCAAGGTTAATGAGGTTCAACTCAAGTTTAGAAGAAGAAAAAAATGTTCCATGCATATACATATTTAAGGTCTTAGGTACAATTTGAAAGGTAAATTATGCAAACTCTAATGTAGCTTTCATTTGGGTTTTTTATAAGATATTTTCACTGTTTTCTCCCAGTGTAAAATAACTACTTAAAATGTATATTCTGGATCAACAAAAAACTAATGCAATTAGTGAGAAAGAGCAAAGGTCCCCTTGAATACTGACAACTCCTCCAGAAATTAATGTGCTCTTAAAGAATGGACAACATTAGCTTTTAAAAATAACCATAAAATGTTCTACAATATATTATTTTAGTCAACAAATAGTAATTTAGTGCCTAATATGGGTAAGACATTGTTGGGTGACACGAAGAGATACAGAGATAAGACCTGCTTCTTAACCCATACTCATCTATGATCTGAAAACGGATGTACGTCTTTCATTCATAAGTGGCTCCCAGAATGCCATGAGTTTAAAGGTAACATCAATGTAACTGGTAAATGGCCCAGAGCAAGATCTGTGTACAGCAGCACATCAAAAGAAAATGTAAACAGAAGGTTGAGCATCAGAGTGCAAGCAGAGGATAAGATTGTAAGAAAGACAAAAAAAAAAAAAAAAGTCAGTTCAACACACTGCAGGATTAAAGCCAGAATCTGGCAAAGTAAATTAGATACCTGGTTACAAGAACTCTTAAAGAGAGGTGGAGGGTGGTGGAGCCTTACCATAGCCATGAACAGTCCTTTGGACATTGTTATTCTCTGATTCTGAGAATAACATCATCAAGCAATTGGGGGCGGGGGTGGGGGGGAGTTACTAATTCAGCTTTCTAAAACCTAGGCATAGAAAAATGTCCTGCATAGGAGAATAGTGTTTAAATACCCATATAGGAACCCCATAGGGTAGCTGATGAACTGGCACTCTTATATACTGTTCTCTTGCAAATTTCACTGTTAACAAGAACCAGACTGTTAACATGTCCCAGATCACATTAATTCTAGGACACAGAAAACTCAAGTTTCCAAAATGAGGACAAGACCTTGAAACATGATATCTTCGCTAGGTAAGGACATCAAGGTTGGATCTGTTCTGGTGACAGGGAAGCCTTCTTCCGCAACCTTGTTCCTCCTTTATTTCAACCCACTCTGAAATCTTAAAAGTTACTTTAAGACAATGTGAGGAAGGTGCCTTAAGAACATTATTGAAGTTGGGCAAAAAGGTGGTCCAAAAGGAAGGATTATCACTTGCAACTGATATAATCCAAGAAGTCTTCAGGAAAGAAAAGGTTTAGGACTGGCACAAAAATAGGACTTTACAGAAACAGTGAACGACCAGAACAAAAACAACGCAGATGGGAGTAGGGAAGTTTCAGAAAAAATAAGGAATTAGACTGTGTAAGAGGTTCTACAGGAGAGGTGTCAGAAAGTCAAAGTTAAAGAGAAAGACAATGATCCAACAAACCATAAGAAATGGACTATACAATTGTTCTTGGGCCTGACCAAGAATCTCATTTTATGCATCTTTTCTTATTTATGTTTGGTCTCTAAAAAAACAACTAAAGGAGATTAACTTCCATTTTTTTATAGAATGTAAAAGGCAACATTCCTTACAACCTAATATTTTCTAAAATTAAAGCAGAAGCTAAATGCTTGTCAATTAAATTTCAATAAAATTCCCAACTGTTAGAGGTTAAATTGAGTGATCCGTGACCTGCATCTCTCACAAATTCTACACTAGATGTCACTTTGAGAACAGCCTGGGCATAAAGATATTCAATGGGCCTCCACAGCATATGAAAAATAAACAAGCCATAATCAGAAATGTCACTAAATCTAAAACAATTGATATAAATTTAAGTTATTTTATTTTAAAAAATAAGGAAATCAGGGGGGAAACCTGCTCAATGGTAATTTCTGCCAGGATAAGTGATGTCTTTTTGTGATTACCTCTTTCAATGGCAACTGGAGAAAAATCTTTCACCATCCAAAAGGAATTTAAATTACACTTGAGACAAACTCAAAGAATTTTCTGCATCAATTTTAGAATGTCGCTTGCATGGGGACAGGAAAATCTGCTGGGTTTTTGTTCATTGCTATGTCACCAGCACCTAGAATAGTGCCTGGAATATAACAGACAGTCATTAAGTACTTGATATGTGAGTAAATGTTCAGCCTCTCTCTCCAATTGTCTTTCACATCCAAACCTTTTCAGTTAATCCAAACTAACCCCAGAGAACTCCAACTCTTTCCTAACCCATGTGGAAATGTGAAAGAACTATTAAGTCAGGACAAAGGGAAAGCCAGGCTCTTTGAATGAGAGCATTATTAAGTTATTATAAGTAATTTTTCAAATGCCTAAGTATTTGAAACCTTTTCCAATTTATTCCACAAGTAGTAAATTTAAAAAAGAACAATGGAAAGGAAAGGAGGAAAGAAGGAGGAAGGACAACCCAACACGTGGTTATAAACAGCTAAGCAAAGAGATTTTTCTACCTTTGATACTTATTAGCACAGTTTTTTCAAATACTTAATTTTGGAAAAATAATCATATCTTAGCACTTTTGTCAGCAGGATCAAGGGCTAAAATAATATCCATGAAGCAAATTTTAAAAGTCCCACAATTACAATTGCTCTGAGAATACTTCTGATAAGTAATTATTAAACATGTAGAGGGCTTTGTAAAGAGTATGTCAATATTTCATTATCTTTACAATCTGAATCTTGAAGCAAATCTAAAATACATTTTCTACTGACACACTGACAAGATGAAAGAGAAACTCAGACTGGAGTAACATTAAATATTTCCTTTGGACTATATAAGATCAGATGCTTTTAACACCAATTTTCTACCTATCATTATAATTTAGGAACATCTTCAAATATGGCAACTTATCACAAGTACAACACAACTTCACTAAATAAAATCAGCTACAGAGGAGGACTGATACATATCTATTTCCAAATATGTCATCCATGTTTGATCTAATCTGCAAATTATTGAAATTAAGTCATTCCCTTTTTATGAAGTTCTTACCTTTGAGTTTTTATATTTTCTGATAATTACCCCCATCTGTGCTAGATAAAAGGTGAGCAGGAAATGCTAGCTGCCTAGTGACACTTCATTCAAGGTTACTACTTCATTCACAATTACCACATGACCCTAAATTAACGCAGGCATCGCAACTCTTCCTCATGGAGAACAGCTAGATATTTGAAAACCTTTACGGTTCCAAAGAAGAAACATCAGTAATAACTTTTCACTGAGAATTCTACTTGTTTCACCCCAAAATAATGATAACTCACTATTCCTTCAGAGTAGAAAGGTACATTCTGTCTGTAGGAAGGGCTCATTGCTACTAGAACAAAAATATTTTCAAGTTTAATAGGTTCCTGGTTTTGAGGTCCAAATGAAAGAGAAATGAATCCCCAGAAATTTCTATATATAATCAGTCATATACATAACTACATTATCTATACCCAGAGTTCATAAAATATCACAAGCTTTATATTAAAATTTCATTAAGCAATTCTGTGAAACAAAATTAAAGTCCTTGGAATACAACTTAAAATAGCAATGTCACCTCTACTTGTGCTGCCAAATGTGCTTTCTCCTTGTCTTTTCGCTCCATGCACCGCTTCACTTCCTCCAGCTCAGATGCCACCGCACTGACGCTTAGCTGTCCTCTCAGATCTGACATCTGCTTCTCCAGATCCTCTTTTTCCCACTCAAGCCCTTAAAAGAGAAAATGTAAAGCCTGATGATTGTTCTTTATTCACAGGAGAATGTGCTTTCGAATGGTACAAAGCCTTGATGTTTTAATATTCCAGCTGACATAATCCACTTATTAACACTGTCATTCAACAGACTTCAGAATTTGCCAGTCTGTTGTTTCAAGTCTCATGCAGTTTTATAAAATATATACAGTGCCAAGTTTTCAAACATTATTCCACTTTGATACCAAAACTTAAAAATGTTATCTGATTTCTAGTATCATTTATTTCAGGAAAGCCTACACATTTTTTTCTCAAACTTTCCTTACATCCCTACGTTATCTTCAAACTCTAACAAAAACACTAAAAATTTTTAACTAAGCCACTCCCAACTGAAGTTACTGCAGTTCACACATAATGCTTTTCTTGCAGCAAAAACAAAATAATGCCGTTAAATTTCTGATTATGTATGACCAGTAACTGGCTAATTCTGGAGACTGCTACCTAAAATTACATCACTGAATATAAACTTAGTATTTAATTCAACATGAAATACTTGTTCTATGATGCATGGCACACTGTAATACCCTCTTCTTCAAAGGTAAATAACACAAAACCCTTTCTCAATGAGCTTACACTCCAAGAATAGAAACAAGACATAAAGTAGTTCCTTGAATCTAAGATGTCAAAAATTGGAACATACATTATCAATTTAAAACTACTGTTTTTCCAGGAGTTTTCTTTCCAGAAAAGGAAAGATGGAAGGAAACATTACCAAATAAATTTATAGATCATTCATAAGACACACTCCAACTTTGGAAATAACAAAGTGTTTAATATAGGACATCTTGGAAGATACACAGGCATTTTAATAGCATGATAAGAATACTGACAGATACTATATAAACATTTCTCTATAGTATAATGGTTATTATACAGAAATAGTACAGAAAATGGAATGATTAACTCACGGTGAGAAACTGAGGTAGGAAGAATTGGGAACTAAGTCAGATTTAAAGAATGGATAAAAAGTTTCACTAAGCAAAGGAGATGCAGTTGGGGAGATATTTCAGAGAAAGGAAATAGCATAAAGCACCGAAGTACAAAGTTAGACTTAATATTAACTAACTGCACACACAGTAGTTTTATACAGCTGACACATACGAAGGAGGTAAAAGGGGAGTCAGTTTATGCATTGCTATGGAGCTTAGAAATTACCCCACACACAAGGAATTAGCAAACATTTTCTGTAAAGAATCAGATACAACTCTGCCATTGTATTACGAAAGAAAACTAGACAGTGCATAAATGAATGGAAGTAGCTATATTCCAATATAATTTATTTATGAAAGTCTGGATTTGGCCCCTGGGCCACACTTTGCCAATCCCTGCTCAGTCTGCAACCTAAAATATGCATATTTAAGTATAAATGTCTTCATTCATTATATGTATTCATTCGTTTTATAAATGTTTTATTTTATAAATATATAGGTATATGTGTGTATATAACATATTTCATAATATATAACATTAGTGTATATATATATATAAAATAATGTTAGTATAAATATACAAAATATGGAGATATGAATACATATGAGTACAGGTATAAATACATACAGATAGATACATGTATATCTTATGAAATATATATATATTTAGTGTGGAGACATAATATTCAGGTATGTTTCATAATATAGATATATAACTTAGTATGGATATATATAAAAATATATAGATATATACACATACGTATATATACAATGAGACATTTAGCAAAACTAAAACACATAAAACGTAAGGTATAAAATATAAATAATATTACAAACACTCTCCTCTCACACCCAATGAACTGTCTCATACACTCCATTTTGATGAATGCTTGCTACAAACAGTGATGAGTTAGTAAAGGATAGCAGTTAAGAGCTCAAGTTTGGGGAGAAAAAGATTTGAGGATGCTTCACCCCACAAATGTGACCTTAGGCAAGGTACTCAATCTCTTTGTTCCTTAGGCCTTTTTTAAAAAAAAAATCATTAAAATTAAGACAAAAATTGTACCTTTCTCATACAGTAGTTGTAAGAACTAAAGGAGACATCGTAAAATAAGTAGCATAATGCCCCCATATGTAATAAGAACTCAATAAATTATAATGAGAAGATTTAACCAAGAGGGTAACTTGAATGGTGTGTATCTTAGAAAAGTTCCTATAGTAGCAGTACTGAAGATAGATGACAGGGGAACTAGAATAAGACAAGGTAAGAGGGTAATACAGATGAAATGAAGCATGCCTAAACTGGGGTAGTGGGAATAAAAAAGAGGATTGAGGTAAATGCAAGAGCTGTCAGGATCTATAAATACACAGGATATCAGGACAAATTACATAAAGGGGAGAAGGAATAATTTTGGATGTTCTTTGCATTTTAGGCTTGGATGTCTGGATAAAAGATGATGCCATCATGAGACAAGAAATACCAGGTTTTGAGGAAAGGATGAATTCAGATTTAAATCTGTTGGCTGAGCATCGTGTGGTTCGAAATAGCACATGGAGTGTCCAATGAACAACTCCATCTGGAGGGCTGAAGTTTAGGGGAGTGAAGCCAGATTTAGTGATCATAATTTATAGGTGATCGCTACAGTATAAGATTAAATGACAACCACTGTGGAGAAGTGCTAAGTGAGAAAAGCCATAAATAGGATTCTAGATAACACCAGCACTTAAAAGACAAACTGTGAACAGGGAAAAGATTCAGATGGAAAGAATGAAAACAACTAAGTCGGAAGAACCAAGGAAGGGTAGGAACAGTTCCAAAAAGGAAGAGGAAATAAGCAAGGGCCAAGTAAGATACATAATGGCAAGATTCCTTTGAATTTCACTGAGGACACCAGTAAACTAAGCAAAGTCAACTTTAGAAGAGAGGTGGCTATGGGTGGTGAGCATACAATGCAATACATATATGACTTAAGATAAGTTCAATTGTACAGTTGAACTTATTGGATGTCGTTAACCAATGTCGTCATAAATTAATTAATTAATTTAAAAAAAAGAAGAAGAAGAGAGGTAAAGGTCATCTTGTAGTGGGTGGAGGAACAAACAGCAGCCAGAGTGTGACAATGGGTGTGATTTCTTATGTACAATTTTTTAAATAAATAATACAAGTATTCTATAAAGATGAAAACTCTTGATTGTTAAAAGAAGGTGAATAAGTCCATTATCATGTTAATAAGAAAAACTTTTAGACTTTTTTTCAAACTGGGTGAATAGTTAAGAAAAATGAGATTCTTCTGGCCCTCAGACTTACACCAAAAATAACTAGATTTTATAAGGAAAGAAAACCTATAAGAAATGTACCACAGAGCCTTTTTGCCAAACAAAATGAGAGTTCTTATGTGCATCTTTATGAAAATTTGATAAATAATATAATACCTTAGGATTTTACTTTTAAAAATAAATTTTAAAATATTTGATATGAAATACATTTAAACCATAATATTACATGAAACTTAGTGAACTGAATAGCATGCAAATACATTAAGATAGGTATGTCAGAATTTGCCATCCAATGAAGACTTTCTAGCAACGTGGAAATTCTAATTAGGCAATGTATGGAGATACACATGGAGAATCTGAGGAAATGTTTATCTTCCTTGGATTTGATAGCACACCAAACGCTTGCTAGAGTCTCCCCAATCATTTAGGCATGGGAGTAGAAAATCTCATTATTGAAGTGATGCAGGAGCTGAATAGACGATCAGGACTAATCTTTTAGAAACTATTATAAAATCTCAGTATTATTATATCTGTTAAATCTGAACTTGCAAAAAGAAATACTTCCAAGAATCATTAGACTCCACCACCTAAAGCAACACCTCCGCTGACTGAAAAGGTCTTTGACGTTCCTCAAACACAAAGTGTTCCTAACCAACACAGGACGAAGCCAGACACATGATTCATGACTACTTTTTCAATGTGATAAATTTTTGTCACCAAATCTCCAGATAACAAAAAAGACAGAATCTTAATTTCAACTGTTTGTATATATTGAAAACTGGGATAAGAGAAAGCAAAAACTAGGGGTATTTCCAATTTAAGTTCAAGAACAAGTACACACACACTCACACAGAGTCACAGAAATAGGATGCTGGAAAAAATTCCACTGCAGGCTTTGCTGGCACTTTCTAAGAGAAAGCCCTATGAGATAGGTCAGACATTTGAAGTGGGTTTAAGAATAGAGAAGACATTAAAATTTGATGCTAATAGCATCAATGAACAAGAAAAATTTGAAATTAAAAACAACACCATTTACACTAGCATCCAAAAAAATAAATACTTATGTATAAATCTAACAAAACTTATGAGGAAAATTACAAACTCTGATGAGAGAAATCAAAGACAAACAAAATAAATGGAGAGATAGTCCATGTTCATAGATAGGAAAAATCAATATTGTCAAAATGTCAACTCTTCCCAACCTGACCTATAGATTCAATGCAATGTCAATCAAATTCCCAGCAAGTTATTTTTGTAAATTGATAAACTGACTAAAGTTATATGAAAAGGCAAAGGATCCAGAATAGCCAATGCAATATCAAAGGAAAAGAACAAAGCTGGAGGACTGACACTATTTGGCTTTAAGACTTACTATAAAGCTACATTAATCAAAACAGTGTGGTAATGGCAAAAATAAAATAGATCAATAGAATAGAATAGAATAGAACAGAGAGCCCAGAAACAGACTCACATAAAACTAGTCAACTGTTAGTTAACAAAGGAGCAAAAGCAATACAATGGAAAAACGATAGTTTTTCAACAAATGGTGCTGGAACAAGTGGACACAGATATGCAAAAAAATTAATCTAGACACAGACCTTACACCTTGCACAAAAATTAATTCAAAACATACCACAAACCTAAATGTAAAACACAAAATTATAAAATTCTTATAGATAAGATAGGAGAAAAATTTGAGTGACCTGGGTTTGGCAATGACTTTTTAGCTACAACACCAAAGTTACAAGCTATGAAAGAAATAAGTGATAAGCTGGACTTCATTAAAATTAAATTTTCAGCTCTGCAAAACACAGTGTCAAGAGAATGAAAAGACAAGCCACAGATTGTGAGTAATTATTTGCAAAGATAGATCTGATAAAAACGAAAACAAAAACTGTTAACCATAATATACACAGGACTCTCAAAACCCAACAATAAGAAAACAAACAACCCAACTAAAAAATGGCCAAAGACCTCAATAAATATCTCACCAAAGAAGATATACAGATGGCTAATAAGCAAAATAAAAGAAGCTCCACATCATATGTTATCAGGGAAATGCAAATTAAAATGAGATGCCACTCCAAACCTATTAGAATGGTCAAAATCCAGAACGCTGACAATAGCAAATGCTGGTAAGGATGTGAAACAACAGGAACTCTCACTCATTGCAGGTGGGAATAAAAAATGATACAGACACTTTGGAAGACAGTTTGGAAGATTCTTGTAAAGCCAAACATACTCTTACCATACAATCCAGCAATTGCAGTCTCTGGTATTTACCCAAAGAAGATGAAAACATATATCCACATAAAAACCTGAACACAGATGTTTAGTTTGTAGCAACTCTACTCATAATTGCCAAAATTGGGAAGCAACCAAGATGTCCATCAGTAGATGAATGAATAAAACAACTAAAGTACATTCAGATAATGCTTTAAAAAAGCGGGGTGTTGGAGGAGAGAGAGTGGGCGAGTGCACCCACAAGCAAGCTACTAAGTCATGAAAATGGAAGAAACTTAAAGGCATACAAATAAGTAAAAAAAGTCAGTCTGAAAAAGTTACATACCATATGATTCCAACCACAAGAACTCTGAAAATGGCAAAACTATGGACACAGTAAAAGGATCAGTGATTGTCAGGAGTTAAACGGGAGAGAGAAATGAATAGTATAGGTGAAGCACAGAGGATATTTCGGGCAGTGAAACTACTCTATGATAATATAATGGTGAATAGATGTCATTATGCTCATCCAATCCCATAGAATACACAATGTCAAGAATGAATCCTAATGTAAACTATGGACTTTGGATGTTAATGATGTGTCAGTATAGGTTCAGGAGTTACAACAAACATACCACTCTGATGGGGGATGTTGAAAATGGAGGAGGCTATGCATATGTGGGAGCCGGGGGTATATGAGAAATCTCTGTACCTTCTGCTCGATACTGCTATGAACACAAAACTAAAAAATAAAATCTGTTTTAAAAAATTGGATGCTAAATGATTATTAACTTGTTTGAAAACCTAGTAATACATCAACATAAGCTGACAAGAGCACAACCTAAGGAATGCAATTCCAAAAAGATCAAAAAAAAAAAAAAAACTACACATTTACAAATCAGAATTATACCTCTCCTAAACCTCCAGTCTTTTCCTTGTTCATCCTGATGGTGTGACTGTGGCTTGGAAATCTGAGATACTTGATGTTGTAAACCTTTTCGATCGCCTTCCGCTTTCATAAGTTGTGTACGGAGTTCTTCTACCTAAATACATATAGACAAAAACTTTTGAGAGTTTTAAAAGCAGGAAAAGAATAATTGCACTCACAAATTATTTTGCTAGGGAAAAAAGCTTACTTCTCCTGGACTATTGTAAGCACAAAATCAAGTCCAGTGAATCATCTTGTTGCTATGCCAAGCACAGCAGAATAGTCTCATGCCCTATTTCTTTATTGTTCCCATTCCTTCTGTGAAGAATGTCTTTTCCCCTTTTCTGGGTTTATGGTGACAAAGAATTTGACAACATTTTTTTTAATCCCTATTTTGATCTCAGTCCACCCATACTACTATTAACCCAAACCACTGCCAATTGAGTACTATATGTTTTTATATTTTTCACTTATTTTCTTTCATGTGAACAGGTCTGTTTTTTGGGTTTTTTTTGGTAAACTCAAGAGAAGTGATCATGGTTTAGCATATTTTTATATCAAAGTACTCTCAAAATAAACAAGCAATAAATGCTGTTGAAAAACTGTAAACTCCTTGAGGTCAGGGAATATTTTATTCATCTTCGTATTTCCAGAGAGTAGCAAATGGCCTAGCAAATATCAGGTATGTCCCCAGTGACCATTAAACAAGTTAGCAGTGGCAAAAATACTCAGCTAAAGTCATAATGACAACCTGAACACAGAAATCTCTTACTTCAAAAGGTGAGATTATAAAGTATAAGTCAGAGTTCCAAAAAATCAGAATGAAATTGAATATAAATATAAATTTCCAGAAAAGAAAGTCTGAACTCGGCCAACATTAATTCCAGTGGATCACTGGCTGCAGAACAAAGCCAATGAACAGTTTTAAAAGTTTTTGTAAAACAGGTGCTATGGTGTATTTTCAGCACTAATTGTCAAAATGTAATACTCCACCTAAACATCTATGATGTCTGACATCTTTGCCTACCTAGCATATTATATAGTGAGTTATTCTAACCCATGCCTCAAACCAGAGGAATGTACAATCGTATTTTATATTAAATATAGGCAGCAAAGCAGTTAGTTAGAAACCCACAAGTCCTTATCAAACTGCCACCATGAGCTAATAGGCTGTAAAACGTTATGCTTTAAAATTAAGCCTTAACTTTGACTAAAAAGGGGCGGGCAGCATCTTGAAAATGTGAATATAAGACAGTGATGCATTCAAAACAAAGTAACTTGAACATGCAAAGGTCTGTTTTCTGTATTTTACTACTTCCTTCACTCTTCAATGCCTCTTTGAATAAAAGTAAGCTCCTGGGAAAATTTTATCTTACATATCCAGTCTCACTTTTACACTGGTTATGCTAAGAGAGATAAGTCCTAAATTGGAGCAGCAATCAGCAAGGCACGCTGTCACAGCAGAAACCTGGGCCAGCGTTTTGTACTAGCTTTCTTCGAATCTTCCTGAAAGGATTTCGTCTTTTGCTTATGTCTGCTGATATATATTCCTCAAAAAATAAAAATTTTCTAGACCTAGGTTTTTCCTTTCACAAGACATTAAATAGAGAAGAAGACTCAATCTTGATTTAATTTAAAAGCAGATTATCATAGCTTGCAAAGACTCACCTGACGCAAAAGTGTTTCTCTGCTGCCTTCTGACTGATTTAATAACCTTCGAGATAGCTCCAACTCCTGTTCAAGCTAGAGTTTCAACAGAGAATAAAGAAAAATGTCCAATGAGGCAGAAGATAACTACATTATATGAGCGCAGTTTAAGAGGAAAAGTTTTTGGAAGATAATGCGGAAAAATAAATACCTTGCCATAAACACATATTAATGTTTCTATTAAAACAATGTTAATTGCGTAACAAAAAGTGAACCAGACCAGACTTCAAGAGGTCTGAGTTCTAGTCAGTTATTTAAATCTCTTTTCCTTAGGCCGCCTTTCTGTTAACTCTAAAATAAGGATTTTATATTAGACAACTTCTGCGATTCCCTCCAGTTCTAAATCATTTTAATCTGCATCCTAAAGCAATTTTTTCTTTAAATTAGTACATGCAGTATCATATGAAATGAATTAGAATAACAACTTCAGAGACTCAATGACTCAAAGTATATTTCATCCAATGGGCAATTTTATATATTCTTAATATTCTTATATTCCTACTATTTCCAATATCCATAACACTCTTAAAATTTTAAAATATCTAAGTTCGGAATAAGACATTTAAAATTTTCCTGAATAATACTGCTTTAAATAAATACCCATGAAAACTATGCCAGTTAGGTAACTAAATATCCTACAAATTCAGCATGTGCCTAGGTTACTTCAAGTTGAAAAATATAATCAGACGTGAAGGGGAGCAAAATATGTCACCCCTAAATATGCTTTTCTGGCATAAAGATTACTCTGAGCCGAAAGCAATCAAGACCAAGCAGCCTTCCCCTGAACTGTGTAAAAGAAATTAGAAAGGGGGTCTGGACCAGAAAGAGAGCTATTACCAGGGATAACATCCTATATTTGAAAGACTCTACACAGCAGGGCAAACATTTCTTTACCAAACACTTGCTCTTCTCATCTTCTACCATCTACATATACTAGTCCTTTAAAAATTGTACATGTGGTGGCTATGGCTACCAAGGAATAACATGAAGGAGCATTGCGGTGATGGAACAGTCTGTGTCTTAACTGTGGTGGCAGGACCATGAATCTGTACATAAGATAAAACTGTAGAACTACACACACATACACACACACACACACACACACTCAACACACAAATGAGTGCACATACAGCTGGTGAAATCTGCATAAACTCCGTAGATTATACCAATGTCAATTTCCTGATTTTAATAATGAATGACAATTACACAAAATGTCACCATGGAGGGAAACTGAGTGAAGGGCACATGTGATCTCTCTGTACATTTTGTGTTTTAATACCCTATGAATCTATAGTTATTTCAAAGTAAATTTTAATCCATTTATAAAAGTTTTTTTTAATTATACAAGTGGCTCGTAAAATAAATGTCATATTTTTTTAAAAAGTAAAGCATATGTGAAATCACAGAATCTACACAAAATATTTTCTGATTTGCTCTGTTGTTTTCTATAGAGAAAGAAAGAGGGAAGGAATCACACTTCAGTCAAAATAGTTTCAAAATCTACCAAGGATCCTATTGGTCACAATCCCTGGGTTGTATCAGCATCTTAAGTCCCAAAGGGAAAACCTGATGACCTGACATACAGTGAAGGCAGCATGAATGTATCGTTTAATTTGACACTGGTTGGAGAAATAAAATAAAGGGGCAATTTTGGATAGAAAAAGCAATAACGAAGTAAAGAACATTACATCGGGCAAATTTTCACTTTAGCATTCATTACCTTGTGCTCATCTTCAAATCTACTCATTTGCAAACTAAGGAATATTTGGCCTCTGAATTTCTTTCTAACTCTAACGTGCTAGGATCCATTAGGGTCACAGACATGAATATATGTAAAAAGTTCTTCATATTTAATAAAAACAGAGGATTTTTCCTCTAGGCTGTTCGCTATGACTATCTTCTATAATGAAAACTAACCTTTCCAAAATACCCAGCCTTTAAACAACAGGTCTTTCCAAACCCTGCAGCAAAGTCAAGCTCTTTGAATGTTCCCCAGCAAGGAATCATAAATTTTAACTCGCGTCTACAAAAGGAGAGTGGCCAGATGACAAGGTAGCAAATGACCTATATATGTTCCTAAGAGCAAGTAGCAGAGAGTGGCAGAGCCTTCAAATCAAGGAAATGCACATCAATACATAAAGGCATTACCGTGGTCTAACAATTGATCTCAGAGACACTTTCCAGGCACTCAACAAATATCACCGGCCCCAAACAGCATTACTCTTTCAGAAGATAACTTTCAAAATCTTACTTGGCTCTTCTCAGTTTCAGTTTGTCTTAGCTTATTTTTCATTTCTCCATCATTTTCATCTGCTTTAGCTTCTTGTTTCTTCAATGCCTAGAATGAAAGAGGTGGGAAAATATGTATTATTCCAAAATACATATAAAGCTGAAGACACTACTAGGATTTATTAAGAAAAGACTGAGGAAGGTGAATATGAGCTGTACAAAATATATAAAGGAATTACAACCTGCTCATTCACTGAAGTTCTAAGAACATTTCAGTGGGGATAAAATATAAGCAATTTCCTGATCTCCCTCATCAATTTCCACTTAGTTTCACTTTTTCTCATCTTTGGGCATTTTATTACAAAATTAAGAGTAGAGATAGCTACCAGTTTTTTTAGAAACAAGCAAAGCTTACTGCCTGCTGAAATAATAATATTTAACGGTTATATTAACTGTTCAACTATTTAGACATAATACTAAAAACTAGCTCACTAGTTTTCCAAATCCTGAAAAAAACCTCATCGAGGTAGAAACATGTTTTTCAAACCATACTTCACATAGAGGGGGAAAAAACATTCTCTTCTGCATTTTTCTCTCATTAATAAAATGGAAAAAAAATTTTTTAAAATACAAATTTCAAAAGTTAACCATATAAGTGTCCGTTTGCATTTGTTTCTATATTAAAATTAAACTTAAGAAAAAGTTTGTACTTGGAACAATCTTTCATGACGTCTAAAAGGCATTCTATTTGTTCAAAAATTTTTTTTGACAATTTTAGCATTTAGACTTAGAAAATGTATGTGTAGAGGCCATCCAAATTGAGAAAAGCCAAATTGCCAGAAATCTTTTCCAACAGGTTCTATGGCGTCCAGGAGAAAAATGATTTTTAGGCAAACAGCAAAATATGTGAAAAACTGTTTTGATGTAAATTTAACCAATCATATTCAATTTCATTAACTTACATGTTGAACAAATAACTCCTAAATGTATTTACAGTATGCCAGGGACTGTGCTAGGGGGGCTACCAATCCATGGGTAAAATAACCATGGCCCCTATCCATGAGATCTCAGCTTCCTCTTTCACAGCTCCTATTCTCACTAAGAAAAGGCAACTGAGGAGAGAGACATCATCAGAATGAAAAATAATTTTGTTTTGAGTACAATAATATAATAACACTTATATAGTGGTTACCATGTCCAGGCATTCTGCTTCTTCTTACATATAATTACATAAATGCACTACATATGTTGAATATTTGCACTTAATCTTTATAATTCCATGAGTTATTATTAAGCCTATTTTATTAAGGGGGAAATTGGGGTACAAGTAGTTAAATAACTTGCCCATTCTAACTAGGTCATTCATCTAGCTAGCAACAGAGACAGGACAAAATCTCAGGCTGTCTGCTTCTTAACTATAGAGTGTCACTGTCTCTCCATGTGTTAATAATTATATCAACCTTATGGCGTGGATATGAAGACAATAATTTGGTATTTGTAGAACATTAAAGTGTTCAATAAAAGCCAACTATTATGATTATTGAATTGTTAACATCGATAAGGTATTTAAATCATAATACTTTCAGGTAGTTATCAAGTGATTTTGATGTTTGATATTTGTTCTTTAATTTAGGATAAGTGGAATTTGTAATAATATTTAATTCTATATGCATAGTCTATTCAATTTTGACTGGTTGGATGTGTTTATAAGTTTTCTCCTGAACAAAATTATGCTAGAAACTTGAAAATTACTGCTGACACCTTTAGTCTTTCCGTGTCTCCTCAGTCTTTCCCCACCCAATGCGACTGAGTGTGTAAAAGAGAAAGAAATATGAAGAAAAGATATATAAATTGTGCTACATTTTTAAACGCTTTATAAAATTTTGAATGATTTTATTCCACAACATTATCATTCCAACCTAGCCCCATTTATTTTTATGAGTTAAACTTAATTTGTTATCTATTCAATATTTTTTCTTTGAATTAAAAACCAGCCCGGGCTTTACCATAGATTCTGAGGAAGATTTCATCAGGCATTGTATAAATTTCATCAACCTGTAAATAGTAAGCCTCACGTCCAGATTTAAGCTCCTAAGCAGAAGTCACTCCAAATGAGTGAAGGCTTGCCTAAGCCACGTGAGGTCAACTGAGGCCATAAACAAATAAGAAGGGTTTATCTCAAACATAAGCACCATTCTCTGCCATTGGTGAGTTCAAAATCTAACTGGGAGGACTCTGCAACTTTTAACCAGCAGTTGCTAAGGTCCTTCCCATGGTATTTTGTGCTTCTTTTCATGCCCCAGACTCTTTTGACATCTGTCCTGTGCTTAGTGAGCTTAGAGAAACAGGAGTCACCTGCTAAGCTTTTATAACTTGACTTAACGTCACACTGCACCTCTAAGAGTTCAACTTACTCAAGAATTTAAACCCAAGAAATTCTCCAGTGAAGAAATTTTTCCATTTTACTAACTGGAATTAATCCACTTCTGCCCCTTTCTCACCATTTCCAAAACTCACATTTTTTAAATCCTATAACACTTTATATCGAAAAAATAAAGTTATATTAACTTTTCCCAAGTGTCTGCATACCTTATATCGGTTAAACACATTAAAAATGTTTCATTCATTCATTTATATGCTTAAGTATACTTATTTAGATAGACATTCAAGATAATCCTTGTTTATCCAGACACTTACATTTCCATAGAGTAATACAAAAGTTTTGGTATCACTAAGGTATAAGTTTCAAGAAGGCCAGAACCCTCATCTGTCATGATCACATTTTATTTCTAACATAGTACTTGGAACATTTTAGGTGGTAAACGTGTTACTGAGTAGAGGAATAAATATCCCTTTATAATCTCTGAATAACAACTTCACTTTACAATTGGCCACTCTGTTCATCAAATACATGTAAGATTTCAAGATTTCTTCCATCTTTATTAATTGTCATATTTTCTCAAGCAATTTTCTCAAGTTGTCTTTCTTTCTGGAAAAACAATTATCATAGTATAGTGAAACTGAAAAATGTACATTTATTTTGGGGCTTAAGTCAAAGAATTAATAATCTTTTCCTGTTTTCACAAGTCATAGTTTGTTTTTTCTTTAGAAAAAAAAATCTCCTGAATGGGTTTCAGTTTTTATATTTTTGAAATAATTTACGTTTACAGAACAGCTATAAAGATAGCTCAGAGTCACCATAAACCTTCACCCAGCACTCCCTAAAATTAACATCTTTCATAACCATGGTACATTGATCAAAACTAAGACATTGACACTGTTACAAAACCATTAAGCTACAGACTTTATTCAACCAACAAATGTTCTTGTTTTGTACCAAAATCCACTTCAGGACACTGTGGAGCAGCTTGGCTCTTCAGTATCATCCAATCTGTGGAAGTTTCTAACCCTTCCCTTGTTTTTATGATCTCAACATTTTTAAAGAGATACTTCAGGTAACTTCAGGTTAGGTATTCTGTAGACTGTCCCTCAGTCTGGGTTTGTCTGAAGTCATTTCATGATTAGACAAGGCTCATACATTTGGAAGGGGGCGTGGAATACAACAGAGGTAGGTACCCTTCTCATTGCATCACATTGTAGGGTATACGATATAAACATGACTCAGGACTGGTGATGTTAACCTTGATTGCTTAAGGTAAGGCGGTCTCTGCCAAATTTCCCTTTTGTCATAAAGTTAGCATTCTTTCCTTTTCATACTTTATTTGTTAGAAGAGAGTCACTAGTTCCATCACATACTCAAAGGTAAAAGAATTAAGCTCCACCTCCCAAAGAGAGAATATCAAAGAATGTGTGGAAATATGTTAAAACCACTAAAGTAATTAACAAATATTTTGGTAGATATTTTGAGGCTATGCAAGTTTCCTTAAAGTCTCACCCATGAATTTTAGCTCAAAACCAGACCAACTATAACACTATTGGCGCTTTTTGGCCTACAAATTCTTCCCCCACCAAGCCTTATAGTCTAACGTAACCCAGATTCCTAGTAAATTAACTCACAGGCCAGCACTCATCTACGTACTCACTATGTCGTCTCTATGAATTGTACTAATTGCAATTGTAGTTGCAGTCATTGTAATTGTCATAGAATGTAATTGCACTTACACTCTAGTAAAGAGAATGCTGAA